CATTGCCGCGCAGCCGGAGATCCTGCAGCCGGCGAAGAAGAAGGAGGATTCGTCTTCGGACTCCGACAAGGCAGAGGCAGCTGCACCTGAGCCTGTGAAGGAAACAGCAGGAAAGGATCCAGTCAAGGAAGCAGAACCAGCTGCTGCAGCTGCGCCAGAACCAGTCAAGGAAGCAGAACCAGCTGCTGCTTCACCAGAACCAGCTGCTGCTGCTGCTCCAGAACCAGCTGCAGCTGCTCCAGAACCAGTCAAGGAAGCAGAACCAGCTGCTGCTGCTGCTCCAGAACCAGCTGCTGCTGCACCAGAACCAGCTGCTGCTGCTCCAGAACCAGCTGCTGCTGCTCCAGAACCAGCTGCTGCTGCGCCAGAACCAGCTGCTGCTGCTCCAGAACCAGCTGCTGCTGCTCCAGAACCAGCTGCAGCTGCTCCAGAACCAGTCAAGGAAGCACAACCAGCTGCTGCAGCTGCGCCAGAACCAGCAGCTGCTGCACCAGAACCAGTCAAGGAAGCAGAACCAACTGCTGCTGCTCCAGAACCAGCTGCTGCTGCTCCAGAACCAGCTGCTGCTGCTGCTCCAGAACCAGCTGCTCCTGCTCCAGAGCCAGCTGCTGCTGCTCCAGAACCAGTCAAGGAAGCAGAACCAGCTGCTGCTGCTCCAGAGCCAGCTGCTGCTGCACCAGAACCAGCTGCTGCTGCTCCAGAACCAGCTGCTGCTGCTCCAGAACCAGCCGCTGCTGCTCCAGAACCAGCTGCTGCTGCTCCAGAACCAGCCGCTGCTGCTCCAGAACCAGCCGCTGCTGCTCCAGAACCAGCTGCTGCTGCTCCAGAACAGGCAGACCAGCTGCTGCTGCTCCAGAACCAGTCAAGGAAGCAGAACCAGCTGCTGCTGCTCCAGAACCAGTCAAGGAAGCAGAACCAGCTGCTGCTGCTCCAGAACCAGTCAAGGAAGCAGAACCAGCTGCTGCTGCACCAGAACCAGCTGCTGCTGCTCCAGAACCAGTCAAGGAAGCAGAACCAGCTGCTTCAGCCGCAGAACCTGCCCCAGAACCAGTCCAAGAAGCAGCGGCCCCCGAATCAGAAGTTTCTCCAGAAGCTTTATTACAACAAGCAGATGCTGCTGCTGCAGCGGAAGCTGCCGCAGCAGCCGAAGCCGCCGCAGCAGCCGAAGCCGCCGCAGCAGCCGAAGCCGCCGCAGCAGCCGAAGCCGCCGCAGCAGCCGAAGCCGCCGCAGCAGCCGAAGCCGCCGCAGCAGCCGAAGCCGCGGCAGCAGCCGAAGCCGCGGCAGCAGCCGAAGCCGCGGCAGCAGCCGAAGCCGCCGCAGCAGCCGAAGCCGCCGCAGCAGCCGAAGCCGCCGCAGCAGCCGATGCCGCCGCAGCAGCCGAAGCCGCCGCAGCAGCCGATGCCGCCGCAGCAACCGAAGCCGCCGCCGCGGCCGCTGTCGCTGCAGTAGAAGCAGCTTCCACAACGCCTTTGAGTGAAGGTAATTAGATTATTGTTATCTTCATCATCATCATCACCACCACCATTATCATGTACATAAGATCAATGAAAAAATAATAAGGGACGCCAGATACGCAATGTTTGCATTTTCAATCACACTAACATTATAGCTTTGTTATTGCCAAGTGCACTTTAACACAGGCAGCCCCATTCCGTCTTGGGAATCCTACGTGGCAACTTCTGCACTAAACCCCGCCTCTTTACCATTATTCATTGCAAATATGTTAATTTTTTTTCTTTCTTTCTTTTTTGTGTGTGTGTTTTTTTTCAATTAATAAAGAGTTTTCAAAGAAACTGCATTGAAGAAAGACTTAAAATCTCGGACAGTCTGACTGGGTTAAAAAGGGGGTGGAGCTAAATGACGTTATCATGTTTAGCCAAAGGAATTGCGCTGTGAAATATTAGATATAGCTAGATACATAATTATTCACATAATTTTCTTGATATTATTATAATTACAAGGAGTAAATTCAAACTTCTTGTATTTATGATAATGAAAGAGTTCCTTACCAGAAAACAGGTGTCACAATACTCTTAAATGGAGGTGGAGCTACCTGGTTATATTTACCTTCCTTAAACTCTAACTGGAAACTCATTGCAGACACAGGAGAAGAGTCGTTGGGGAAAGTAACAGCTGTCATCGGTGCCGTGGTGGACGTCCAGTTCAAAGGAAGTCTACCACCTATTCTCAATGCGCTGGAAGTGGAGGGCCGCACGCCGAGGCTCGTGTTGGAAGTGGCGCAGCATCTCGGTACGTTGGCGATTTGGAGCAGGGGATGTACAGGCTCCGATGTTTTGTTTGTTTGTTTGTTTTATTTGAGTTTGTCTTTATGTGTAGATATATTGATCTCTTTCTCTTTCTCTTTCTCTCTCATTCTGTCTCTCTCTCTGTGTCTTTTCATTCTCTCTCTCTCTCTCTCTCTCTCTCTCTCTGTCTTTTCATTCTCTCTCTCTCTCTCTCTCTCTCTCTTTCTGTGTCTCTCTGTCTCTCTGCCAATCTCTCTGTCTTTCTCTCTCGGTCTCTGTCTGGCTGTCTTCTTAAAAGTGCTTGATGGCACGAACATTTTATTAGATATTATGTTTAAAATGAATTTATATGTTTTCAAGCAAATGTTCATTTCTTCATCATCTATGCATTCTTTCTTCTTTAATAACTACATATAGTTCATATACGGAACTATTTAATGTTAAAACTGTTTCCGATATGTCAGTTCCCCCATATCACGAAGAAGGCAAAAAGAACTAACTTAGTATTCTTTCTTTGTCCACAGGCGGTAACACAGTAAGAACAATTGCCATGGACGGTACAGAAGGTCTTATACGTGGACAAACTGTGACTGATTCAGGCAGTCCCATTTCAATTCCTGTTGGTCCCTCGACACTTGGCAGAATCATGAACGTTATCGGTAAGAGATTGGTATAGTCTGTCTCGTTAAGGTATATATGTTTCGTGTGTTTTATATGAGTATGGTATTGGAGATTTGGGTTTTGTGTGATGCATATTGTTTCGTGTTTTTTTTGTTTTTTTTCAAATGCGATTCTTGTATTTCTCTCTCCTTTCCTCTCCTATCCTGTCTCATTCCCGCTCCTTCTCCTTCTTTCTCTCCCCCTCCGTTCCTCCCTCCACCCCCGAACTTTCCTTGTCTCCCACTCCTCCCTTCCCTTCTCCCTCCCTCTTTCCCTCTCTGCTTTTGCCCCATTCCTTTTCTCTCTCTCTCTCCCTCCCCCTCTTTCCTTCTCTCTCTCTCTCCCTCCCCTTCTTTCCTTCCCTCTCTCCCTCTCCTCCCCTTCTGTCCTTCCTTCTCTCCCTCCCCCCCCCTTTTCCTTCCCTCTCTCCCTCTCTTCCCCCTCTCTCCCTCTCCCTCCCTCTCTCCTCCCTTTCCTTTCTCTTCCCTCTCCCTCCCTCCTTTCCCTTCCCTCCCAATCTCTTCATTGACCTCCCCGCCCCTTGCAGGCGAGCCCATCGACGAGAGAGGCCCCATCGACTCCAAAGCCTACGCCGCCATCCACGCAGACGCACCGAGCTTCGAGGACATGAGTGTTGAACAGGAAATCCTCGTGACGGGCATCAAGGTGGTGGACATGCTGGCTCCTTACTCGAAGGGAGGGAAAATCGGTAAGTTGCGGTGGATCTGAAGATGTTTGTTGACCCGTGGCGATGTATTGATGTATATTTGTATATGGCGTTGCGTCTGGATCGGGAATTTGGGATAAACTAAAAAACTTGGAGGTCTTTGGGGCCCAGAAGACTCTCTGAAAATTATCGAAAGTAATAATATAAGTTCGATTGTCATATCTCGCTTTATTCTCATATCTCGCTTTATTCACATGTTATTTTCCCAGTATCCTGTACCTAGTACCCTTGTGCCATGTGACTAATATAAAATGAAATATTCCACTAACAGTTTCACAGCTTACTACAAAAAAAGCACCGAATCCTCGAAGCACAAGTACCTTAATCATCCAACTCACATACACCTCTACACCCCCAGGTTTATTCGGTGGTGCTGGCGTGGGCAAAACCGTACTTATTATGGAGCTCATCAATAACGTGGCCAAAGCCCATGGTGGATACTCTGTCTTCGCTGGCGTGGGAGAGAGGACGCGCGAGGGAAATGATCTGTACCATGAGATGATCGAGTCCGGAGTCATTTCACTCAATGATGATACGTCTAAGGTAGGATGTGCTGGTCAGGTGGGGGAGATGAAGATGCTGATCATTGGGGGAATGTGTTTTTAAAAGGTTCTCTTACTGCTCCAATGTGTGGCTCACGTGAATAGCTATAACTAATTTAGAAGCCGCTATCTGACATTTAGTTTAATTATTCAGTACCACCACAATATACAGCTCGTACAGGGAAGTGGTGAGTGAATAGATAGAATTGAAGCAGTGATACGGATTTATGATATTTCCTTTATCAATAGATAGTAAACGACTTTTGAAAAATCTAGAGCGATATTGTTATGAGGACTTGTGCTAAAGCTTTTTATATTGGTCAGAAATGTCAACATGAAAAAAAAAAAATGTATACTTTTCCACCAAATTTAGTTAATACAATATTAAAAATCAATTTCCTTTTCCCCGAGGGCCAAGCATATTCTTCTAGTCATTTCAGTCCAACGCTACAGGTACTAACACTGTTACACCACGCAGGTAGCCCTTGTGTACGGCCAGATGAACGAGCCACCCGGTGCCCGAGCTCGTGTGGCACTCACCGGTCTCACTGTGGCGGAGTATTTCAGGGACGAAGAGGGCCAAGACGTGCTTTTCTTTGTGGACAACATTTTCAGGTAAAGATCTTTGTTGAATATTTTTATATTTTCAATTTTCTTTAACTGTTGTTTATGAAATGAGAGGATGCTGTTTTGCGATGATATTGCCTTGATCTTGTTCTTACCACAGTGAACATCATTACTCTACTGGTAACACCCTGAAATCTGGAGTCTCTGTTTCATTCTAATCAGCTAATACAGTGCATGACTCTACATATATTCAGCAT